AGCACCAACGCCTGGTTTATCCAGGACTTGCCAGGACGCTGGTCACCCTGGCTCCTGCCCTTGTCCGCAGCCATCTCTCTCTGGCTGTTCAGACTTCTGGATTTGGGGAGGGGGGCTCTGGGTGGCCTCGGCTCTCCCCCCACCACCCCTGCAGAACTGGACTGTATAGACATGCCTCTGCTTCAGGCCCTTAATCACCCAGCACACTGTCTCCCAGAACAAAAGCCCCGTCCTTAGAAATGGCCTCAAAGCCCTGCCCCTCAGGCCCCCACCCCGCAGCTCAGGCCAGGCAGCCTCCTCAGGCCTTTGTGCGGGCCCCCTCAGCCCGCACACTCCTCCCTGGCTGGCTGGGGACCAAGCACCTGGCCCACCCACCCAGGAGCCTGGAGAGCCTTCCCCTGGGGGAGCCGGCCTCGGCTGTCTTGTACCCCGACCTGGGGCTCTGACATGGCCACCTGGCGGTCTGGGTCACTCTGCTGACTGAGCCCAGGTCCAGCGCTGCCTGCCGACTTGGCAGACATGGACCCCAGACGAACCTGGAACATTGAATATTGGGTCAGATGTGACCCCTTCCGACACAGGCTGAGGCAGGGCAGGGCAGGGCTGAGGGGCGCCCCATGCCCACAGCCCAGCTGCCCAGGGCCGGGCAGGGAGCTGGAGCCGAGCCGGCTCACATTCTCCGGCTCCGGTAGCCCCTCGCGCTTGCTGCGCGCCCGGGCCCAGACGCCTGTGTGCACAGCCCCCGGAGGCACAGGCACAGCTTCCTCAGCTCATCCGGACCCTGGAATTCAAGTAGCGGAGCCGTCCTCCCGCTGCCAGGCACGAGGAGACATCCCTGCGAACCAGGAGCCGGGCCGTGGGGCCTGCCCTCCCCTGAGCCCCCGCACCTGCCCCCAGGGCCCCCGAGCCTCTGCTCCAAGGACATGGGCCTGCCCTGCTGGTGGCCAGGAGCCACTCCAGGCTGTGCGATGAGGGTTCCCATCTTGTCAGAGGTCCAATCGGGGGACTCCTACCATGGCAGCCAGCACCTGAGGGGCGCCAGGGGTGTGGTGTTCAGGGTGGCCCAGGAGGGTCCCCTGGGAGGGTGATGTTAGAGTTAGGAGGTGGCCACGGGGACATCACGGGGTTGATGGCAATAGAGTGAGGGGGAGGGGCGTGGGTGTGACATGTGGCTGGCCAGCGGGCCGTGGCAGCACCGCGCTGTGGGCAGTGTTGATAACGGTGTGTGCTGCTGGCAGTGAGCGCGGTGAGCGTGGTGAGGGGACAGTGGCGTCTGCTCGGTGTTTAGGGACAGGGTCCTCCTGAGGACCTCTCATTTCTGGCTCTTGTGTGTCCAGGGCCATCTGTAGAGGTGGGGTGGGGTGGGGCCCCCTGGGCCTCTGCCTGTGTCATTCAGGCGGCCAGCAGGAAACAGAATTCAAATAAGAAACCTTATAAATAGACAGACAAACGTGCGTCAGGCTCGAGGGTGTTCAGATACCCACAGACCAGCAAGAACGGGAGCTGGGGACCCGAGCAGGGGTGCCCATCACGGTGAGCAGCCCAGGGCAGGAGCTGGGCGACTCCCGGGCATCCTGGGAGATGCTCTGCCCGCAAGGCAGCAGGGCAGCAGAGCAGGCCCCCTGTTGAGCCCCGAGGAGCCAGTGCAGCCCACGGCTTTGTGGGGAGGACCCAGGACACATTTGGGGACAGTGGCCTTAGAAAGAGACCTTGACCCCAACCACACGGTGGGTCCCATCCCCCTTTTGGGGAACTGGGGTCATTACTTAGAAAGAGGACAAACCAGAGCATCCCCAAGACCCAAAGCCAGCTTCTGAAAGTCCCCTGTCATGCCCCACCTCAGACCTCAGGGCAGAAAGGTTAATCACAGAGTAAACAGGAAGGAGCATGGAGATGCCAACGATTCATTGTTCTTATTGTTTTTCGACTGCCCCCCCCCATCAGCAGCTCTGACTTCGCCCTTCAGGCCTAACAGAGTGATGCTCCCGCCCCCAGCCCCTCCTCAAGCCTGATAAAGGGTGTCTCTGCAGTGACAGCATTAACATATCAAATTCCCTTACAGGGAGTTCATAATGGGGAGTGTTTAGCCATGACCAGGCTGCTGTCACCTCTGTCCCGGGGCTGGGGGAGGATGTGGGCCCTGAGCAGACAGCTGGGCTGCAGGGACGGGGCGAGGGGGTGCAGATGGGGTGAGGCCTCTCCCGCCACAGCCCCTTCTCTGCAGGGCCTTCCGTTCCCCCTGCCTTCCCTGCCCTTTGCTCCTGCTCCAGCCTCAGCTTTGGGGAGAGAGCCGTCCAGGGGGTCAGGGAGGCGGAGGGGCGGGAGTTCCCAGCAGACCCTATGGCCGCCTATGGTTGGGGTCACCTCCCCACCCCACCACCCCCATACCCCTTGGAGAAACACCTGCCTGCAGCTCCTGGGAACCAACAGGGGAGGGGAGGCCGGGTGCGACCTCAACCTTGACCTCGAAGGCTTGCACCAGGCAGGCCAGCCTCCTCCAGCTCCAGGTCCAACGGTGCTTTCTGTCCCTGCACACGCCGCGAGCACACGCGTGTGCCCGTGAAGCGAGAGACACGTGCACGTCAAACGTAGAAGCTCTGCCATGGTAGACACGGCATTCAGTACACGCACACGCGCACATGCTCACACGTGCACAAACACGCTCGCGCCTACGCAGGCACGGCTGCAGGCCCAGACTCGCGTAAACGCCCGGGCACCCAGATTCACATTTGGACTTGACTCCGGCTGCTGGTGCACAGATCGGAGGGGACGCGCTCGTGGGCCTATGCCCATGAGCAGCACGCACACGTGTGAATCCCCACACACACAGCACCTGCAGGCACGCACGCCTCTCCTTGCACATGTATTCACACGGGCCCACGTGTGCCCTCGGCATGCCCGCACCCTCAGGGACACCCCCGAGCCCGCGGACCTGCACACACGCGGCTGGGCCCTGGCTCTGGGGGCCTCTGTCTTGGCACAGACGGAAGGACTCCGCTCTGTTCTGGAGGTGGGGGTGGGGCTCCGCGGTAAATGCCCTTGGCACAACCCCGAGGGCAGAGGAAGTGAGGGCTCGGCGCCCACACTCTGGCGGGAAAGCCCTGAACAGCTGCAGCCCAGCCTGCTCTGCGTCCTGGGGCAGCGTCGCCGTGCGTGCGGCTGGGCTGGTGGCCTGAGCAGCTGCTTCTGGAAAGGCAGGTGGCAGCTGAAGGGCTGCACATGCGAGGCCCTCCCAGGAAGCAGGGGCCCAGGGGCCACTGGGATCTCTGGGGCAGCGCCCACTCGGTGCTGGGCGTGGGGGAAGCTGCAGCAGGGCGCGCCCACGGCCGGCCAGGGCTCGGCTTCCTCCCTCCCGTCCACCGTGCCCACAGTGTCCACGCTCTGTGCGAACTGCCACGAGGACAGTCCCATCTGTCATGGAGGAATGTGCTTTCTACAAGATCCCAGCGCAAGAGTCCCCTCAGGAGCCGGTGGGCCTGCAGGAAGTGGGGTTTTATGTTACTGTCACTTTAAAGGTGCCGACTTCCCCCCATCAGCAGTGGAGAATGGCAGAGCTGTTGTGGGCACGGGACGGTCGTCGGCAAACGCCTATCGCCCTTTACGCATGTGTGAACATCCCGGCTGCGTGACGAGTCACCTCGGGCCGGGTGAGTAGAAACGGAACACATTCTTCCAGCCTGGAGGCCAGAAGTCCACAGCCAAGGCTCCAGGGCAGGGCCCTTCCTGCCTCCCCAGCACCTGCTGGCTGCTGGCCGCCTCGTGCTCCCCGCTGTCCAGGCGCCCAGCCTCCGCCTCCACTTCCCACAGCCAGCCCTCAACTCCGTGCTTCTGTTGTGAGGACAACAGTCATTGGACTCAGGGCCCACCCTCATCTGAGATGACCTCATCTTTACTAATGGCATCCACAAAGACTCTATTTCCAACTAATGTCACATTCTGAGGTCCTGGGGCACATGCATGTTTAGGGAACACTATTCAACCCGGTGCAATGTACACATATTGTTTAATGCTCACAGACTCCTGTGAGATCGGCTCCTTGTTATCTCCAATTACAGGTGTGGACAACACGCACAGAGGGGCTGAGTGGCTCGTCCAAGGTCCCTTGCTGGGTAGGCACTTCAGTTACGTTAGATAGGATAAGGGTCTCGAGGTCTGGGCAGTTCTTACTAAATGTTGTTCTTGCTAAATATTAAAATGTAGCACAGCGATTTGCAGATGCAGCTGTAAACAGGATGAGCTTGACAGGAGCCCGCCCCACAAGTGTAGCCAACTACAAAGAAGCTGACATATAAGTGACCAACAAAAGGGGAATTAACATATAATTGGCCAAATAGCATACAGGCAATGGCTATGCCCCCTCTGGGGGGGCGGGTCAGAGCTTTGGATGTGAATCCCCTGCCGCCTTTACGTGCTGCAAGTAAATCAAACCAAACCAAACCACAACTATGTCTAGTTCCTGAATGGAACACCCCAAGCATGAACCCCTTTAGCTTGGTAACGGTTCCTCGTTGCTGCTTAACACAGCACCCCCACATTTAGTGGCATACAACCAGGTCAGCACTCACTGCTGTCAGCAATCTGCGATCTGGGCGGGGCTTGGAGGGGACAGCTGGTCTTGGCTCCCCTAGGAGAGAGCTGAAGCTGAGGTCCTCTCCCAGGTCTGGTGGGTCAGCCTGAGACCTCATGTGGACACTAGCCTGTCCTCGAGGCCAGTGCTTCCTCACAGCTGTTTCCAGGTGCACATGTTAGAGCACAGGGAGAAACCCACGTGGACACTGGCCACCTGATGACCGAGCCTCAGCAGGAGCGCGGCATCCCTGCTGGCCATCCTACCCAGCAAGACAGCCACTCATGGAGGAGGCTCATCTGGTCCCAAAGCGAGGGGACTGGGCCCTACCTCGTGGCGGCGGGGCTGTGGCAAGGTTCTGGAAGAGCAAGTGGGACCGGAAAATGTTGGGTTGGCCACTTTCGATACAATCTACTACTGTTGACCTAAAAGAGTAAAACCTCCAGGTATCTTACCAGCAAAGTGGGTTTATTCAGAAAGAGAAACTGCGATTCCTGACAATAAGCTATAGCAAAGCTCTAGGCAAATGGAGCACTTGAAAAGGAATGTTACTTTGCAGGAGGAAGTTGGGAGGAGCTGTTCTGAACTAAAGTCCTCTGTAGGAAGCAGAGTTCAGGGAGATGTTTCTTGGGAATAGTTGCTGGCAAGGAAGTAAACCTCCCTTGCTGGAGTAGTAACATTGTATCAGCTTGCAAGGTGCAGCCGTCCCCACCCGCCCCTAACTGAGGACTCTTCCCGTCCTGGTCTGTAACTGGCATCCAGCGGTCCTGCACCCTCGGGCTCCCCCTTGTGGCCTCCTGGCTCCATTTTAAATGAGGTTTCCGTGTATTAATTTCACACCGCCTCCAGTGCAGGAAGAGACGAGTTACAAATCTCAGACATGGATTGCTTTGGTGGGTACCTGCTGCGCCAGGCCCGTGGCAGGCGCAGGTGCTGTACCTGGACCACTGCCGGGAGCAGCCCTCACATCACCTGTATGTGCATCGTCCTGTGTCCCACACACGTGATGTCATTTCATCCTGGGGCAGCTCCAGGAGGGAGATGCTGTTATTACTCTATTTTATAGACGAGGAAACTGAGGCACCAAGAGGTTAGGTGATTTGTTCAAGGTCACACACATTAGTGGAGGCCACATCAGTGTGGAGGGTGAGGCTGCTCGTGGGCAGAGTGGCAGGCATGCTCAGGTGTGTGCAGGTGTGCCGGTGCCAGGCCTGGAAATGCAGGTGCTTCAGCATGTCTTACCCTAGACCCCTGCTGCCCAGGCCTCGTGCGGGAGGCCGGCCATCGCCTTCGCACCACCTGCCCCAGTCCTTGCCCCGCCCAGTCTGTTCTGGCCCATCTGGGCCGCTGCCGCCAGGCCCAGGCGGGATGTCCCCACACTGCCACCTGGTGGTCGCTGCCCCAGGACAGGGAAATTCCCGTACCTAGTCCCGGGCACCCAGGTGGTGTCTCCTGCACACCTGCCGATTCTGCAGGCTGAAGATTCAGACACGGGGTGGTCCCTGCCCAGCACCCATCACCCCCCCTTCCCCACCTCTGCCTCGTCCCATACTGGGATTGCCACCCCGGAGTTGTTGGGAAGAATTCGGGAAACTAGAACATGGGCTGGAAGCATCCAGACCCTCTGCCTGAACAAAGACGAGTCCCCCGGTGAGAGGCGGCCTCCTCATCAAGGCTGCCACAGCCCCGGGAGGCCTCCCTGCCGCCATCCAGGTGCAGGGGCACTGGCCAGCTTGCCTGCAGGACAGAGGGCAGGGCTGGGGCAGGGCATCCGCAGGCTGAGCTGAGGTGGGCAGCTGGGCTCGTGTCTGGACAGGTGTCCTAAGGCCCCTGCTCTGTTTGGCCAGATGCATTTTCTGCTCAGCCACTCCACTACTGTCCCCACAGCCTGACCCAGTGCTGGGGCCACATCCACTTCCCTGCCTCTCTCAAGCTGTCCTGACCCCACATGCTCTCTCACCCACCCATCCATTCCCTCCCTCCCCAGGGTACAGGGAAGACATGACATGCTAGGCCAGCAACCTTCTGTGACTTCCATTCTGGGGACAGACTTGGGCTCTGGGAGACTCGTTACAAGTCAGTTTCAGGATGCGAAAGTGAGGTGCAGGACAGTGACTGGGGTGCCACCATGGACGGGTCCAGGAAGGCCGCCGAGGAGGCGACAGAGCTGAGACCTGGTGTTGCGGACCCAGGCCTGTGAAGGGGGGAGGCAGGAAGGGGTTGGCAAGCGCGAAGGCCCTGAGGCAGAGGGCAGACGCTCGTGGTCAGGGGTCCGGAGGGAGCGGGGGACGGCCCGCAGAGAGGAGCTCTGTTGGAGGGCTCAGACTTCTTCTTAGGAGGACAGGCAGCGTCTTGGACCAGTTTCCCTGGGAATCTAATCTTCCCGGGCAGGTGCTGTGTGTCTCCCCACCCCGCCTGGGTCCTTGTCAGAGACCGTCAGCTGGGGGGATGTTGGAACAGAGGTGCAGGAGGGAGCAGGCTGGCAGACCCCCGCTGTCCTCATCTGCTTTTCCGCACGCAAGTCCTTCCTCACATCCGCACACTGACAACCCAGCCCCAGGCGGAGGGATGAACGTGAACGGGGAGTCACCCCCTCTCAGGCCTGGCTCGGCCTGCACCGTTGCCCAGGGCAACCGCTGGAGCCTGGATGTGGGCGGCAACCTTAAAAACTGACTCCGCCTGCTGCCTTGGCCTCAGAGCGGATTAAGTGGGAGCGCGAGCCTCCAAGGCGTCTGCAGCTCCTCTTCCACGCCGAGACTAACTCGTTTAGGAACGGGACGTGTGACCCTCGCGGTTGCGGGTGGGGCGGCTGGCGCTGCGGCGTGGGTGGGCGTCTGCTCTCGGGACTCTGGGTCCTGGGGTTTCCCGCCGGTTCTCCCCTCCCTGTCTGCTGGGAGGAGGGTCCCGGGGCGCGGGAGGCACCCCGTCCAGTGTGCGGCTGGCCGGTTCCGTCTTCAGGCTAAGAAACAAGACGCCTCTCAGCCTCGCAGCCCAGAGATCCTGTTCCCAGCAGCGTCTAAGGTCTCCATGTGCGGCCACCTCGCCGTCTTTCTCCTGCTCAGGCCCAGCAGGCTCTCTTCGCTCTGCTCCGCCCCTGCGCCGCTCCGCCCCTGCGCCAGCACCTCCAGATGCCACCTGCTGGAGGGCACGCGTCCATGGCCCCAGCCCTAGAGGGTGGGCGGAGCCTGTGGCCCATTTCCGATGAGTGGAAACGGCGGAAGTCGTGGTGTGTCCCTTCTCGGACTGTGGAAGGACCCTGGCTTCGCCCATTCACCCTGTCTCGTCCTGCTGCCCTGATGAAGCCAGCAGCTGCCACAGTGAGAGCTGTCCCGTAGGGAGGCCCATGTGACAAGTGACGGGGGTCTGACTCTCCGCTCCTAGGGCCCGGGAATGGGGCACAGGGCTGTTTCTCAGAAATGTTCAAATACCTTACTTCTAGATCCCTCAGGGATGATGATGACTCTGGCGGTGTTGGGTGGAAGCATGGCCCTGGCCTGGCATCGAGGGGCTCAAGAGCTGGATTATCCGATTCCCGGGGCTCCGTCTGAGGGACGGGCGGGTCTGAGTCCTCTTGAGGGTGTCCCACTCCCCAGTCCAAACTGGGAGAGGTGACCCCCCACAGCCCAAGCCCTGCGGGGACCACACGCTCAGTTCGCTTGCACTCTTGGATGCTCTCACCACACCGCATCGTGTCTGTGCTGTCCCTTACTGACGATGACAGTCTCCCTGGCATCTCCCGGGAAGAAGCTGCTCTTCATGTGGTTCCCACGCGTCTCTAAGGGGTCGCATCGTGACCGCGCTGGGTGTAGATACCCACGCAGTCGCAGTGAACGGACATCTGATTCCCTCCGCACTCGATTTTCTCAGGCTGCAGGATCAATTTGAGTCCATCAAGATCGTAATCCAAAGTCTATTACCACCCGCCTCCTTCCCTCCATGTCCACGGCTCTTTCAACTATCTCCCCTTTCCAGGAACTCAATCCTGCAGAAAAAGAAGCTGCGCAGATACGAAGTAATGACCTTTATCTCTTTACAAGGAAATCTAATTAGGCGTGAAGGAGACAATTAGGCCCGGGGCCTGGGATGTGCCTGCCTGAGGCCATTGTCACCCTCCAGGGTGGCCAGGACAAGGTACTTTGATCTCCCTAACAGCGTCCTCCTGGGGAGGTCCTCCTGCATCTTTTCTGGAGGGTCGGAGCATCTAGGCCGAGTCAGCCCACAGACTTCCAGGATGGATTTTCCGCTCTCCTAGTAGAAACCCAGAGTGCACAGCGGTGCTCGAGCATCGTGCACACATTAATCACTGAGTGGACACGCACCCCTGTGAGTAGGTACATTGTTAGCCCCATTTTACAGATGGCAAACGGGCACAGAGAGGGCGAGTAACTCTCAGGGTCACACGGCTAGCGAGTGGCTGAGCTAGGGAGTGTTCAGTGAGAAGCAATTCGGACTCTTTGTCAAAGCTTCCTCTCCCCTCCCCCCCACCGCCCCGTCCTGGGGATACCACGCTGTCCTGTCTGGTTCCAGGTGCAGTGGACGGCCATTGCACTTACCTGACCACGCCCCCCGTGTCTCCAGGTAGAACCACGTGTGCCTTCCGGGCTAGGTGTGCACAGGAGTGGACTAGCCCCCGGTCCAGCTTTGATTGGTTCCTGCTTCAGGACTGGCAGCAGCTCCGCACAGTGATTGGTGCAGGACGAGCCCATCATCCGGGCTGTACCAATCAAAGTCAGGCCTGAGACTGTAGGTGGGGCTGACGGGAGAGAGGCCCATTGGGAAGCGAGCGGGCGCAACGCGGGTTTGGGGGCCTGTCGGCTGTCACCTGGCTTGAGAATGGAACCAATCATGGGACACGCAGGGCTCACGGCGAAGAGAGCAGAGCCACGGGGACACCAGGCTCTTCAACGCCGGCTCGGGGATGGTACATATAGCACTCCTCACTGTCCATCAGCCAAAGCAAGCCCAGTGGCCCGGGCCCAGGGAGCCTGGGCACCTGCGGCAGTGTTAATGGCAGACGCGCACGCTGTGCTGAGCCTGTCACGTCGTCACCTCACTGAGCCAGGCAGCTGCCCTGACCGCCGGGGCCACAACTGGCCCGCTTCAGGTGAATGAGGTGGTTAGCAACCTCCTAACCGCCTGGCTCTGCTCCCGGGGTCGTCCTGCTTGTCTTCCTGAAGAAGGGCCCGGCTGGGACCCCCAAGCTAGAGCCACGCGCGACCCACGGGAGCTGAGCACGGCGAGCAGTCGCTTAGATCCACTTGCGCTCACGTGGCTGGGCTGCTTCGGTTTCTCCTTTGTGCCTGTTTAAAGGGCACGTGAGCCCTAAAGGCCCGTCCAGGTGGCCGTGAGCGTCTGGGTGTCCACCCCAGGGAGTCCAGCCCACGCGGTAACGCTGTTCCTGCCGCAGCCACGTCCTGGGCAAGTTCAGAAACCCTGGAGGTCTGGGGGAGGGGAAGTGGTGAGTGGCCAAGGTGGTCTGGACCCTGAGTCCTGGACGCCTCCGCGGCAGGAGGGACACTAGTCTGGCAGCTTTCTTACCCTGAATTGCCAGGTAAGAAATTCAGCTCCCCAGACCACGTGGGGGGACTACCGTGGAGGGACCACGTGCAGGGACCAGTCGGTCTTGCCACAAAGGACTCTAGCAATCCAATTAAAAAATTTGCCTCTTGGTAAGGAGAAAGGGAGGTTAGATACTCATCAATAGCCTGGGAACAAAGAGAAGGTAGCGACCAACTACTGATTTAAGGTCATTGGGCTCCACGGTGCCGGAGGCGTGGCCTGGGGGTTCCCAGATATCCAGGTACTCTGGTGCGACTGTCAGAAACCGCCTGAGCCAGGGACGCGTCCCCCACCCCCTACACACACACAGGGGTCGTGACAGCACCTGTCCCTGATGACTTGGGGACATCTCATAATGGCTCCGTCGGGGGGGGAGCGGGGAAGGAGACCGCTGGAGGAACGTGACCCGTCTCACTGGAGTCCTGCGTGCGTCCCCGCGGGGCAGGCCTCCAGGCCGGCCCGCCACCATAGGCGCCCAGGACAGGCCCTCTGCCCGACCCCGAGGCCCGTCCGCCCAGGTTTCTGCTTCACCCGCGACCTGGCTGACCCCAGCAGAAGGCGGGCAGCCTCCTGTCTTGGTCCATTTGGGGCCCTAACTCAATGTCCTGCAATGGAGAATGTCGCCAGCGGGTGAGAGCCAGCAGGACAGAGGAAGCGTTGCGAGAGCCGGGCGCGGGCACTCGGTTTGGGGCGGAGCTCACGGCTGAGTGTGCCGGCTTGACGTCCGCGGGCGTCTCAGACACCGGGGCGAAGCTGGAGGGAGCTGGGAGGTCCCACCGTGGGGGCTGCGGTGGACTCGCTCTGGAAACGGCCCGGGAAGGCCTCTCCTTCCCCCGTGGGAGACGCGAAGCTGGGGCAGCTGCCCCACGGGGGCTGGGAGCAGCGCTGGGGGGCCAGGCACGGTCCGTCGGTCAGAAACCCGGCTTCGCCGATCGGGTGTTCGCTCTGCCCCGGCTCACCGTGCCCGGCACGGCTCACTTAAGGAGGTGATTTAACCTTGCAGGGCCTCGGCTTCCTCATCTGTAACACGAGAGAACGATCGTTCACACCTGATACACTCTGCAGGAGGGAGGAGAAACCGCCCCAAAGTGATGCGGACACGGGCGGGGCGGCGGTCACGTGACCCAGAACTGGGACAGAGCAGCTTTCTCCTAACGAGTGGTCGCTGATTATTTTACCACATGTCCAGTTTCTATCCCCGATTTAACGTGGCCGTGAGCTCTTGGGAGTTGTGGGGTCTTCCTGAGGACAGCCCCGCTGGAGGCCAGACAGGGGCCCTGCCTGGTGCGGGGACGCTGCCCTCTGCCTGGGAGGGGCCCAGGGCAGGCGGGGG